ATTCTAGGTTTTTTTGTGTGTGTATGTTTCCATATAAAACTGAGAATTATCCTTTCAAATTCTGTGAAGAATTGTGTTGGAATTTTGATGGGGATTGCATTGAATCTGTAGAATGCTTTGAGTAGGATGGCCATTTTGACTATATTAATCCTACCTATCCATGAGCATAGGAGATCTTTCCATCTTCTGATATCTTCTTCAATTTCTATCTTCAATGGTGTAGACGTTCTCTCTCTCTCTCTCTCTCTCTCTCTCTCTCTCTCTCTCTCTCTCTTTCTCTCTCCCTCCCTTCCTCCCCCCACTCTCTCTTCTTTTGGTTGCTCTTTTTTTTTTTTTTTTGAGGCAGGGTCTCTCTACATAGTCCTAGCTGTTTAGGAACATGACATGTAGACCAGGCTGGCCTCCAAATCACAAGAGATCTATTGGTTGTAGTATTAAGGCAACTCCACGTAGTTAAAAGGGAGGTTTGTTTTGTGGGGTAACTTACAAGTAAATGGATAGATTACAGGGCCCAAGAAAGTTGTAGTGCAGTCTGGTGGTGTTCTCTAGAGAACTCTGCTTGGTCTACCTCCAGCGTCCAGGATCCAGGAACTATGAGAGCCAGCGGATCTCAGGTCTTAAGGGCTCCTGTCTTGGCCCCGCCTTGTAGGCGGGCCAGTTACCGAAGCCTCAGTGGTGGTAGTGCTTCCAGGTCAAAGCTGAACAGCTACCCACTTCAGAGATCTACCTGCCTCTGCCTCACAAATGCTGAGATTAATGTGCACCACATGCCCTGCCTTGTAAGTTTCTTACTGGGTCTTCTGCTTCATTTTCTCTTCTGTACAGGGTGGTGGTTTCTCCACCTGGCAGATGGAAAGGTCTCCTTCCAACATGTATGCCCCTGCCCTGAACCAATTCAACATAAAAGCCAAAGTCCTCAGCATGACCCTGAGAGTTGTGGGTGACAAGTATGTGGCTGCCCCTCCCTTCTCACAAGTTCCATTGTTCACTGAGTTCTGGCCACAGGACTTTGGTTTTCCCATCCTCAAATATTAAAGCACACTTGGACCTCACGATATTTTCCTTTCTGTTTTTCCCCTTAAAAACACTAATGGCAGAAATCTGAATAGTTGCTCCTACAGTTCATACAAGACTCCTTTGAAGAAGCTGGAGAGGTGACTCAGTGGTTAAGAGCACTGGATGCTCTTCATGGGACCATGGTTTGAGTCCCAGCACCCACGTGGCAGCTCACAACTGTTGGTAACCCCAGTCCCAGGGGGTCCAAAATGCCCTTTCATGCCTCCACAGGCACTAGGTATACATACGGTGCACACGTAGGTAAACACACTCACACACCTAAAATAAAAATGAAAATTAAGCCATCTTTTTAAAGAAGAGTTCACTGAAGTGTGTTTTATATGAGTTTGACTTCTGTTATGTAAGATGCTGTTCCCACTTACTGGCTCAGCGGTCTGCATGCATTGGAGATGTTTGGTTTTTCCTCTTACTCAGCTGCTTTATTACCCAGCCCTAAATTGTTGACAGATGTTTTTAGTAACCACTTTTATTGGGTTCTTTCAGAACATTCAAAATTAATTTCACGGAAGCCAACACTTTTGTATTTATAGATTCACCTGCTTACATGATATTTAGTTAAATCCTCTACTGTAGCCACAGATACTGTTGCAGAATGCCTCGGGAAGAGGCCACCTGAGACTTGGCAAAGATAAAACCCAACTGATGGTGGGGGAACACGCGTACTTCCTTCTAGAGGGTTCCACCAGACTCAGCATACACTACAGTTAGAATACTTTACACAGTGCAGAATCTTTGTTAATTAGTTCAGTAAAGTGATAAGTTGAAGTTCAATTAAAAGGGCTTAATTGCTACAGAAGAGAAACTGAGGTATATTTAGCTTGATTTTATAAATAGGTACTTCCAGGTTCTCCTTGCTTATTGATGGAGTGGACCATCTTTGCACAAATGACATAATTGTCTACTTTATAAAGTTTCACATAAAACCTTAAAAGTAAGAATAAATGGCTACTAGAAAATTGCTACTTTTCTTTAAAATGGCATAAATTATAAAAATGCATCTGGCAGAGAAGTGCAGCAGATGGACAGTGGTGCCGATTAGGCATTATGGATGAGCACCACATCACTGAGTTATATTCCTAAAATGACAACAGGAGACAGCATTATGTTGTGCAGATTTTACCATAGTAGAAAAGAAAAGTATAAACACATCTGCATTTGTTTTTAATACCTTTGGCTGGACAGTGTTTCAATGCAACGGGAAGAAAAACAGGTTAAGAATTAAATGTCTCATGGTTTGTATGGTGCAGCCTCTGTCACACATTTTAGCAAATGTGTTCAGCTCTCTTTACTGTAGTTTCCTTATGATTAACACATATGTGTTCTGTAGACCATGGCTCCGCTTATCAATTCTAGGTGCATTGTTTCATGCTTTCAGAAAAGTAATTCACTGAGTTGGATTTCTGGCTGGACATTTGCTATTGAGGTTTTAAAAATGTTAAAATTGCATGCTTCCGATTTTGTCTGAGTTTTTTGTTGTTTATGAAAATGCAGCTGTTTTCTCCTGGGATGTAATTAATTGAGAATTGGCAAGTTTAGCTTCTTCTGGAGGTTTGTACTTCTTTTTGGCATTATTAAATGTTTGACATTTTTAATTGCTGGTGTCTTAAAGGTCCCGTCCATGAGTTCTGAGCAAAGAACTTCCTAGGCTGAAAAGGGTATTGGATAATTAGCTTCTTTCTTTGAAATTGGTGAGTTAAAGATAATCAAACATTTTATACAGTAGGATAAAAACCAGTGGATTGGGTGAGGTACAGGGATAGAGTCATCAATCAGATTGAAGTATAAGAAATTATTTTGGAAATTAAAGTACATTTCTAGTTATTTGAGTTTAGTATGCTAAAATATTTTCCCAAGCAAATAAGATAACATTAAGCTGGAAAAAAAAAAACAGGAATTAATCAGTTTACAGGGATGCTTTGTAAGAATAGGAGGATATAAGAAAATGATCAATGGAAAGTTCACCTTAGAAATAACTTTTCAGATAAGCAGAAAATATGATAAATAGAATTTATTTTTAATAATAGTAAACAGCACTGTATTAGGTGAAGAGTTTATTGGAGTCTGCATCTGGGGTATTACAAAGGACTCTCTAACCCAGGGTGCAGTGTGCATTCCTTAAAGGGTGCACTCTATGACATTCACTGCCTACTATTTGCCATCAGTTACAATTGCTCAATAAGTCTATGTTGACACTTGGTAATGAAGCAACTGTAACCTGCATTTCCTTTCAAGCAAGTCTCTCTATTTTTCCTTTAATTAATTGTTTCAAAATATTTTGGGTAGATGTGTGGCCTTCAGTAGCATTTCAAACTTTAAATCAGAAGACTATCTGGCAGCAAACTGAACCTCCCCCCTGCCCTGGGCTCTGCCCCACCACATTCATCTCACTTATGTGAGGCCTCCAGCCCTGGAGGTGCTGAACTCCTCTCTACCAGGCAAGGGTCAAGTGGGAAAAAGCACGGGAATAATGCTCGTCTGTGTGACCAGTGCCCACGGAACACTGGCCTTTCCCTGTTACGAGAGAAGATGGCGCTTTCGACAAGATGTCGAACCAAGTAGTTCATGGAGTATCCCCGTGTGTATGTCATCTCCCGGTTTTTAGTTTTAACTTTGTAATTTTTCAAGTTTGACCATGTCTGTTATTTGTTGTGATTATTGTGCATCAGAGGATGATTCTGAACTTCTCCGTTACTTACAGTATTTTGGCAAGTATTTGTCTTTTTTTGTTGTTTTTTGAGACAGGGTTTCTCTGTGTAGCTTTGGAGCCTTTCCTGGAACTCACTCTGTAGACCAGGTTGACCTCAAACTCACAGAGATCCACCTACCTCTGCCTCCCGAGTGCTGGCATTAAAGGCATGCGCCACTACTGCCGCCTGGCTTTTTTGTTTGTTTGTTTTGTTTTTGTATACTTTCAACTTGTATTTTAGAAAGGCTGCTTCCCTGGGGACCTCATTGAACAAGGGATTTATCAATCCAAGTATCTTCTAGCCAGTGTCATCAAAAGCAAATCCCGAAAACCATGGCTGAATTAGGATACATTTTTTTGTGGTATTTAGGGACGGCTCCGTTTAAATCCCCTGACTCACTCCTTGTCTTCCTGTTTGGCTCCATGTTTCTTTCTGGGACTTTTGCCACACATGTGTGTCTTTGCTGCCTGCTTCTTCCTGCAGTGTCGGCCATGACAGTTGTAGGCATGTGTTTTCATCGACCCATTTCAGTTATCTCACCCCTGGATTTAAAAAAAAAAATCACACAGCCTTTCTTGGCCAGGGCACTGTTTTCTGGGTACCGTTCTCATCCATGTTCAGACTTTTTAGACCAGTTCTTCTAAAAGCGTGAGTCCTGATTTTACCAGTTTAAACGCGCCGTCACCTGTCAGAAGACACCAGTCCCTGTCATGGTACGTGCTGCCCAGGGGCCCTTCCTTCTCAGAGGTGTCTCCTCCCTCCCCACTCCCTGGTCACACACCGGTCCTAGCCTGTGTTCATTACCCTCGCACACTCCCTTGCTTCTTCTGTGCTGGTCTTTCTACTTTTTCCGTCCTGTCTGACTGCTCGTGGGACCCACTTCGCTCCCACATCTGACATTGCCATCCTGTTCTGTCTGTGATAACCTCATTGCACTTCATCACTGTTTGCTATCTGTCTGTCCGTGTCCTGTACTGTGAGCCCTGTGAACTTCCAGACGGAGAGAAACCTGTGTCCTGGGGGGACTCAGTACATGTTTGTGGGATGAAGGAACAGTATTTTACATAGGGAAATAGAAGTCTGCATGGAATATGAGACATGTCAACCATCACTAGCACCAGTGGTTACGAAGTAAGCTGGCGTCGGCCCTGCATTATTTCCTGGCTTCCTCAGACCAGCACTGTATTACTGAGTATAAATGATTATTAACTAACATATTTGTTTCTTCCTTCACAGATATTGATGATGTTAAGAAGTTCAAACCAGGTTACCTGGAAGCCACTCTTAATTGGTTGAGACTTTATAAGGTACCAGACGGAAAACCAGAAAACAAGTTTGCTTTTAATGGAGAATTCAAAAACAAGGTAAAGATGAGAATCTGTATTTGAAAGTGCACCTCTCAGTGTCTGAGGGGATGCTTCACATAGACAATCTGATGTGAACATTCATAGATAGAAGGAAGACCAAGTGCGTTTTACTGCCTTCCGTATTTAAGGTATTAGTATTAACATTTTTCCCAGATATTGAAGTGAATCAACACGGTCGATCTACATACAGCTCATCCTAGAAAGTAAGGGAGTTCTGCAGTTAGTTTAAACTTTGCCAGTTGTGTATGAAGAAAACTGCGCCAGTTCCTAGTTTGAGGAGGTTGCTTTCCCTTAATGTCAATCCGTCCAGGATTCCCTCCTGACTAAATTTTAACCATGGCTGAATGAAGTTGCTTAACAATTAAGAGAGCACTTGAATTATCTTTCTGGTAGAGTGTTCTTCCATTAGAATGCCGCAAAGCTTCCATAAAATGTCCCTAATCTAACATGACACAAATGAAGAAAATCAGCCAAGAAGCTGAAGTCGAAAATATGGAATATTTTTAAAAAGCTGTTAACACTAAATGAATTGCATACTCTTTTTTTTTTAATTAAAAATTTTTTTTTACTCATTTTACATTCCAACCACATACATCCCCCACTCATCCCTCCTCCCATCCCCTCCACCCCCACCTACTCCCCCCTCCCTCAGCCCACCCCCTCATCCCCTCCTCCATAAGGGTAAGTTCTCTCCAGGAGGGAGACAGCAGAGCCTGGTACATTCAGTTGAGGCAAGATCCAGCCCCTCGCCCCTGTCTCAAGGGTGAGCAAGGTGTCTGTGGGAGGCCAGCCCCCACCTTTCCCAGGGTTCCTATGAGGAGGAGAGAGGAATAAAGAACTTTTAGATAGAATGATAGGCCTAACCAGTGAGAGGAAAGACAGAAACATAGCATAGCTTTGGGAGGAGCTGGGCCAATACCCAACAGCCCAGAACTTTATTCAGAAGGGCTTTTTATAACAATGCCAAGGTGGGGGGGGGGGCGCAAAAGACCTCCCCTTTGCTAGATACAGCCAAGTGTAGACCCTTCCACACACCTGGTACCCAGGCCCGGGGTCCAGTCATCCTCTTAGCTGGGTAAAGCCAGTTCTCATTAGGAAACCTCTGTGGGCTCCCACATCCAACCATAGGTAATGGGCTCCAGAAAGCCAGCTCGTGCACCAGGGACAGAGCCTGATCACACTGCCAGACCCAGCTACACAACTCTCCCGTATGTATGCAGAGGGGCTAGTCTGGTCCTATGCAGGCGTGAGTTCCTATGAATTTGGTTCAGCTGTCTCTGTAGGTTTCCCCATCATGATCTTGACTTCCTTTGCTCATATAATCCCTCTTCCCTCTCTTTGACTGGACTCACTGAGCTTGTTGGATACTAGATGTAAAGCAAAGGATAATCAGACTGCAACTCACAACTCCAGAGAAGCTAGGAAACAAGGAGGACCCTAAGAGGGATGTTTAGATCACCCTGGGAAGGGGAAATAGATGAAATCTCCTTAGTAAACTTGGGGTCAGGGGGGCAATAGAGGGGAGGGGATGGGGGATGAGAACATAAGGGAATGGGATGTTCGAGCTGGCGTAGGGACAGAGTGGGAGAACAATGAAAGAGATATCTTGATAGAGGGAGACATTTTGGGGTAAGGGAGAAACCTGGTGCTAGGGAAATTCCCAGGAAAATACACACACACACACACACACACACACACACACACACACACACACACAAAAAAACGATTAGACTACTAGCAGTAGTGGAGAGGGTACCTGAACTGGCTCACCCTGGTAATCAGATTGGTGAACACCCTAGCTGTCATCAGAGCCTTCATCCAGTAACTGATGGAAGCAGATACAGAGATCCACAGCCAAAGTGCATACTCAACCAGCTTCTAAGTGGGTACAGAAAGTACGTTCTATAACAGAAACAAAGCTTAAAACTGACAGCAAGTCTTGCTCTGAAAGAGGTGATTGCTAGACTCAGTGTTTTTTTGAAAGGCTCATTAAAAGAATTCTTAATGCCACAAAGACTTTGTTTAGAGTTTTAAAATGTAAAAGTATTTTAGACTTGTCTTAGAAATGGGATGTTGGATATTTTTTAAATAAATTGTTCTTTTCTTTCAAAATTTATGTTACATTTCTTTGTTTGAAATTATGCATAACACACACACACACCACACACCACACACCACACACACACACACACACACACACACACACACACACACACACGCACGCACGCACGCACGCACGCATACACATGTTCCTCTATTGCCTCAAAGGCAGCCTGGCAAGTTTTGAATTTACAGAGTCAGGTGTCTTCTATGTTCTGGTGGCTTTGGATGAACATTTATTTTCTTCGGTATGATTACTGGGTAATTCTGGTAACATTTCCAAAAATAGTCATTTTGTGCATTGCTTTTTACCATTGCCATTAAAATACAGAGCCTAACTCAAGAACATTTCATTAGGCCTCTTTTCTGTGGTTGAAAGGTGGTTCTCGTTTCTTAAGTCTAGAGTTCCCTGCCCATTTCATGAAGCAAGCACTAGAATTGATTACAGCCAGAATTATCCAAATAACTCTATCTAAAAATTCTTCCCTGTATTATTCACAGAATAATTTCCATTTCTTATCCCCTGTCTAAAACAGTATCCCCAGTACCACCTTGTTGAGAATGAAGCCATTCTCTTTTTTTCTCGGCCCTCTATGGTCTTGAGAGAACTTTTATTTCACAGGTTAAATTTCCCACTACGATTCTATCTCAGAGCCCAAGATTCTTTATTTCTTTGGTATGATAATAATGACTCGTAATCGAGGAGAATAAAGCTAGTGTGAATCAGCTAATAAATAAGGATCCATCTTAAAGAAAGAAAAAAAAAAAACCTTACTTACTGCTTTTGCGGAGGACTCTGGCTTTGGCAGTTCACATCTGCCTGAAACTCCACTTGAGGGGCACCTGCCTCCCTCTTCTGCCCTCCAGGGCTGCTGCACACATGTGATGCACACACACATATACTCAGGCACACACATACACATAAACTGACTTTGAAAAAAGAAGTAAAAGTAATTTTCTCCTTTGAAGATGAAAGAAGATATTTGTTATGTAGTGTTACTAGATGTGTACCCAGCGAAATGTTTATTTCGGATTATACAGTTTGGGGTACTTTATGAGTTAATATCAAGGAAAAGTTGGGGCCGTTCTAAGAAGATGTATTGCTTTCCGTCAGGGAGTTGTCTAAAATTACAGTTAACTGTGCACTCCCGGCAGTGACGGAATAAATATGTGCTTGCTTCCTCACAGGTTGTGGACCAGGCTACGCACTCTGCTGTGCATCCTTTTATTTGTTCATTCATTAGCCCTGTAGTTTAGATCTGGGATGGGCGAACTATGTCTGTACAGGTCAGATAGTAAATGTTTAAGGCTTTACAACGATGCCTGTGGTTCCCGAATCTCTTCTCAACATTCCATCCCGTTAAAGCATCCGTGGGCCAAAGACTGAGACTGACAGCCGCCCATATGTGTGACCCACAGACTTTCCTTTGCCTGCCCCTTGTCTCCATTGCGCCCGACCCCCACCTCATTATGTGCTGTTCCTCAGAACGGGAAGTTAAGGCTTGGTCAAGTTAAGCACCTGCGTCACAGCTGGTGACCAAGGAAGGGTTTCTGCTCAAGTTTGCCCGGTTCCAGAGCTCAAGCTCTCAACAGTTTACTAGTAGTTTGGTGTGGGTATAACACTGATTTGGGTGGGAACTAGGTTGCAACTATCTCTGTCTGTTTTTGATTGGAGCTAGGCTTTCGCTCTTGAAGTTGTTAACTCCGCACATGAATGTTGGAAAGCAATGCTCATGAAGAAACGTGACCGTGGAACTATCAACTGGTAAGAATGTATAATGTTAATTCATTGTCAGTTTCTGCTCAGCAGCCGCATAATATTGCTCAAATCCCAGGCGTTCAAAGCATCTCTTTTTTTGTTTGGTTGTTTGCTTGGTTTTTCAAGAGAGAATTTCGCTTTGTAGCTATGGCTGGCCTGGAACTCACTCTGTAGACTAGGCTGGCCTGGAACTCACAGAAATCCACCTGTGTCTGCCTCTGCCTTCCAAGTGCTGGCATTAAAGGTGTGTAGCACCACCACCCAGTTTATGGAGCATGTCTTTAAGGGTCATTGCTCAGTGCTGGCTGTCACTACGCAGCTAGGAATCGAATGTGGTTCATTTTTCCAAATGATTTTTATTTCACTAAGATATACTGACAAGTAAACAAAAACTTCAGGCAATCTACCATGATAGGTGCAAAGATACAGTAAGAACAACAGTTTCCAATATTTAAAAATGTGGTTACTTTGTTTACATAAAAACTACCACATCATTTCTTATAAACAGTAAAAGCCGTTGTTTTCCTTTTTTAACCTGTATTTTTCTGCGTGCATCTGTCTGTGTTCACACATGGTACAGATGTGGCAGCCAGAGGACAACTTTTGAGAGTCATTTCTCTCTTTCCACCTTGTAGATTCAGGGCATGAACTCAGGTAGGCTTTTGTCCCATGTGACCCAGACCATTAAAGGATTAAGAGGAATCAAGCAGTAGTGAAATGCACACATTCCATTTAATGTGAAACGTCTAAATATATACTTATTTACCAAACTGTGGCTATAGAGGTAAGCCCTTTTCTACATTGATTCCATGTGGATTTTTTCCTACATCCACTAGCGTTGTGTGAAATATAAAATAAGGATCCTGAAGTCTGAATCCCTTCAGTTGTGGGGTTTAACCCAGCTCTTCAGTTCAGCACCAGTGAGGCCTGCTTCTCTCCATGCCAGCTGTCTTTCTATCGTAAATGTCTCCTGTTCCAGAAGCTTCTTAGCCGTCACTCCTGTAGCTCACGTCCTGGACCCTCGCCCCACTGCTCTACATTCCCTAGTGGACAGCCGGAGCGTTAGCTGCTGTGCTGTGTGCTGACTCTGACCTTTAGCAAATAAGCAGGACGCGGCACAGAAGGGAGCTTTGACCAAACAAATATATTTTCAGTGGTCCCAAATCATTTATGTCTTGAAGTTGTCTGTCTAGTTTTTCACCTTCCTGAAGGAAGGAACATTTAATTCATTGACAATACTTTTGTAGCACCAGTGAGATGTCTTGGCAGACAACAGCGCTTCCTTTGGAACCCTGGTGACCTGATTTCAATCCCCCAGAACCATGTAAAAGTAGAGGGGCAAACCAACTGCACAGAGTTGCCCACCGGCCTCCATACATGGACTGTGGTATGCATGCACCTCTCCACCTGACATCCATGCACAGGAATAAGGGCACATGTGGCGTACACACACACACACACACACACACACACACACACACACACACACACACAAATATGTTTTTGTGAATGATGTGGTTTTTTTTTTCTGTGCCGTGCCAATCAGTAGTACCAATTCTATTTGGTTCTGCATACATTTGCCCCAGTGCCATTTTCTTCTGCAAACTCAAGAGGTCATGATCCAAAGTCATCAGCAGCATCACAGTTTTGTATCATCTCCTCCTTTTTTCTTGGTGCTGTTGCTTTAAAGTGAAAAGCCCTGACAGTATGAATCCTGGACACTGACTTTGATCATGACTGTGAGCCTTTGTCAGACTTGAGACTGACTTGAAGGAAATAATTTTCCATGAATTAAATTTCCATACTCTTGACTCTATAAATTTTCTTTTGTATGTTATTTTCTGATAATCGTATCTCTTTTATTTAATCAGTTATTTTGTACTGTTAATCTATTTTTAATATGTCTTTAATTTCTAAATATAATTTTTGTTTATTGTGTCCAGCATTTTTGACATTGGTGATTTTTAACTCCAATGCAACATCTTCCTGGCTTGGTCAGTGAGATTGTTCGTGTACCGTATAACATTTAAAAATTGTCTATTTATTTTTGTAGTGCTAGGACATTTATAAATTTAGAGCAAAATATTTAGTACTTCAAAATTCAAAAAAGAAGGAAAGCACATTTTAGCAGTAGGTGCCAGCACCCCAGTCAGCCGTTTAGAGATTATCAGCTTCCTCCACATTATCATCTTCTCTCCAGACCACTGTCAGTTTGAGAGCTGAAAAGATTTAGAGATTTCAAGGTACATGAGGACTCACTGGCTCAATGTTTTATCCCCAGCATCTAGAAAAGCCTTGGACACTTGGTATAATTTTTTGAACTTGCAAATGGATACAAAGCAGTGCTGTCTAGACCTCCTTTCTTTTCTCATTGTCCATATTGTCCTGGGGCTTTTCTGCCCCAGGCAGACCTGGAGCTTGTCTTCCTTCCTCAACTTCCTCAGCAGATGGGATCACACACCACACACAGATGAATAAATAAATAATAGACACACAAACAGACACCTAAATCAATAATGCCATTCAAAAACCTATAGTCATTTTGAAAATGGAATGCTGTTCATGGCACAAGTGAACAGAAGTCCCACACCAAGTTACGATGATAACCAGAAGGAAAATCTACTGTGACCAGTGTTGCCAGTTACAGACAGGTGGAGTGTGAAAAGTAAATGCATAAATAGGTCTTCTTGTGTTAAATTCCCAACATGCTTCACAAAGCAACTGTAAGATAAATTTGCTAATGTGTATCTGTTAGGTCCATTTGAGAAAAAATAGATGTTTGTGTTTGCCCATTCACCCCTTGGAGACAATCATTGCTAGTTACTTTTCCCTTTGACTGAAGAAGTAACTTAGTTTTAGCTCCTTTCTCTACTAATGCTTTATACATCCATTTCAACCTGCCAGCTTTTCTGTGAAATTCTCAGAGATTGGCCTTATTCTATGTAAGAGGGATGATGGCCTCTTCTGTCATCTGGGGGGCAGGCCTTGTGCAGTGGTTGCGTGCTTTGGGGTCAAAACAAAGAAGGGCGTGAGTTTCCAAGCCCTCGCTGATTGGAGAACAAGCTAAGGCTGGTCTCTGCCTTTCTGGACTGTCCAACTTATAAGTTTTCATTTCTTCTTATCCTTAATCTTCTGTATCTCTGAGAAAGAGAATCTCTACCTTTCCAATTCTGATGCCTATTCCTTAGAGGAAAATGTCTCCACATGGTGTCATTCTCTATGTTGGATTTGACTCTCAATCAAAGTTAAGTGTGGTTGTGATGTTTGTGTATACAACAGGAAATGGTTTTGATATTACATCATTTTAACTTGTTTTAACTGTGGAGAGTGCGGTGTCGTGTATGACTCCATATTTGCACGTACAGTAGCCTTAGGTGTTCTGGTCTATACTTGTTCCATTCTCTGTTCCTTGGCTGATGTCATATAGCCAGTGTGGACTGTTTGTGGTTGGTTTTCTTTGGGTGATGCTCATTTGGGCTGTGTTAACTCCCATTCTCTTTTCTTCTGCAGCACAAATGTGCACATCCGTGATAGCCCTTTCCATTGCACTCCAGAGGAAGCAAGATCATTAGTTGAATCGGTAAGGAGCCGGTGTCCAGGGCGTCCTTTAATCTGACAGATGCCATGAGAATGCTGACAGTGCTTCTCAAATGTCTAGCAGTGAAACCTGTCAGGACCTTTGGGAAGTATAAAATGAAACAATGCTATTGAAGTTAGCAATTTTTTTTTGAAAGCTGGGCAATTTCAATCAGAGGCCATTAAACCTCCTAATTTAATTCTTAAATTTGGTGTTCAAATTGTCCTCCTGTTCCCAGGCCACGGCCATGTGTGGACATTTGTTCTCTGTGCTCTTTGGTCCCAGTAGGTGGTCCTTCCCGTTATCTTCATGGGGCAGGTGCATTTGGGCTCAAGAGAGGGAAGTGCCTAGACCCCCCCTTGTCATTTCCACGTAGCTCACCCACCTCACGAGATTTGCTTCGAGGACCTCCCTGCCTCAGTGATAATGCTGCATGGAGGCAACTGTAGTTACTAGTATATTAATTCTTAATTAGAGAGCACTAAGTAAGAAAATTAATATTTGGATAATTGGGAATATAAGGTGTGTTTAACAGAGATCTCAGGCTTTAAAATCCCCTGTATAAATTAAGGGCTTTTAACTAATTATGAACTAGAAACTAGAAAATTTAGGTCTTTATGAACAACTAAAATTATGGCTGCTTTTAATTTGTTGGTTTTTTTCACCACTAATTCATCAGTTATTCAATTATAACCTGCTCTGCGATAATTTGTGAGTGCTGGAGTGCACACAAAAAAAGATGCAAAACCGTGTGTCCTTTTGAAAATTACAATTTAGTTGGGAAGATAAATAATAAATGTAGAAATGAAGTAGACTTTCAATAGATATTAAATACCATGCTGAAAAATGAGCAGGAAGAGGATATGAGTTCTAGTCATTCAGCAGTGGTCTAGGGCAGCCTCCCAGGAAAGGGGCCTGCAGATGAGCCCAGGCCTGTGGAAGGCGAAGGGGAGAGCCTTCCACGCCCAAGGCCACAAGGCAGAAGGATGCCTGTGTGCTAGCCAGGGACACTGAGGGGATGGCTTGGAATTTGGGACTAACTCAAGCCACATACTGAGCTCCAAGGCAGCCTAGGCTAGGGAGTGAGCCTGTGTCTCACAAAACCAATAAATCACAAGGTACAACGCAGTTTTGCAGTTATCAGATGCCGAAAGTTTAAAAAAGTCTGATGACACTAGATGTTTTCAAGCCTCGTACTCGAGTAGCTTGCAATATAAATTGTTGGGATTTCTTCAGAGAACACTACTATGGAGACTGAAGACGCTGACCGTTCTGCCCTTGGCCTTCTAGATATGTCTGATAGAGATACTAATGCATCTGCCTATAAAGCCAGACAGGGAAAATTTGAAACTATCTATCAGTTGATAAAATTAGGGAAATCAACTGTCCCCATGCACTGTTATACTTATCATGTTTATAAATCAGGACAGAAAGAAAGCGTGGAGTTGGGTGGGTTAGGAGGATATCAGGAAATCATTGCCAGTAGTGAAGAGTTAAATGTCTGCTGCTTTTCATGAGGCCATTGTTGTTACTTTCAGATTTAAATATCATTCTCTTCATTAATGTGAAAAACATGTTTCTTGCCCATGACAAAACTCTGAACGCCATTATCTGACTTTCCATAATGGTGGTTCTCTTTTGAATAGGAGTTTATGTGTTCTGAATATATTCATAAGAAATCTGTCCTAACAACGAAAAAATAATATTCTTGAGATTATTTTTTCAAGTAATGTCATGATATATGTTTTAAGAGAACTTGTTTGCTCCTTTTTGCGGTGATTTTTAGGCTAACAAATTGCTCAATTGTTTGAATTTTTTTTGTGTGTACTATTCATTTTCTCTCTCTGAAGCATTTGGCAGTACCAGTTAGAAACAGATGTTAATTTTAGACAGGAAGTCTAACCAGTGAATTTTCCAAAGAATTTTGTAAAAGGTATTGTATGACTTAAAAAGATACAACAATGTCAAAAAATGAGGTTATAATCTGTGTAGGAGAATATTGCCATCCGATTTCAAATGCTTCAGCCAAGTGGGAGATTGAGGCCTATTGCAGTAACTCTTACAACCTGCCACCCACGGGCATGTTTTGTGTGAGAGAGGAAACTATTAAACAGTAATAGCAATCCTCTGCCTGCTCCTCCTTCTCATATTTCAAGGAAAATTAACCAAATCATTTATGATCGGGCGGGGGGGGGGGGGGGGGAGGGATTATTAGGGATCTTCAGAGGAATAGAGCCGGTGGATACGTGTACATTCATGCCACCATTTGTCGATGACAGACCGTGAACATGATGGTGGTCTCATATGTATCTTAGAGCTCAAAAATGCTGAGGGATGTTGGCTTAACCAACGCTATTGCTCTACCAGTCATTTAAAAGTATTGCACATACAGCTCTATCGGTATGCCATACTTGACAGTGATGATAAATAATTATGTCATTACTGCTTCGTACATTGCTACATCATACATGATGCTTTTTATTGTTACAGAATGTACTCTTGATTTTTAAGAGTTTGCTGTAAACAGTGTACTGCATCACACTGGCAGCAGCCCCACACATCCTAATTTATATTTATATAAATATTATATATTTATATTTATTTATATCATTTCTCTTGGGCTTGCTTTGCTCTCTTGTTTTATCATGGCCCCTATAATGAGATCATATCTACTGCTAATGTTGCCACTGAGAAGACATATCAAATGATTGACATGGAAGTAGAGGAAAAAGTGGTTAAGGGTTATCGGGTTGAAAATTAGTTGTTATTAACCAGTCGGGTATGTCCCATTCCACTATAGCTACAGTCTTGAAGGACAGGGACAGTGTGACTGGAGCTGCTTTCCTAGCCAGCACTTGCCATTCCCTAAACATCCAGGACCTGGCATTGACTTCCTGTGCATCACAGTCCTCCCAGGCATCTGGTTCAAGAATAGGGAATTTTATCCATAGTAAACATTCTTTATGACAAGTGGTTTTCCTCTCCCTTAACTTACCCCCAAATCCTCCACTGCCCTCACATCAGTACTCACAGGCTCACCACTTCCACATTTATGTAAAGAACAATTCTGGAACTGTCTAAACCACCGGGCCTGACTACTTCTAACATTGTCATCAAGTCCAGCCCCTTCTGTCAACATCACAAACGCGGCTTTGGCTGTGGTTGTTGCGGTGCATACGGGGATACCTCTATGCGTGGTCTTCACACTCCGAACTCTCTTCACATTCAGTGTAGGCCATTCCTCATTCTCGGTATCTTATTGCTACCAACAAAACAGAATAGTGTTGTAGGCCACAAGCTGAAACCTTTGTGAGCTGCAGAGCAAGCACCATCACATGAGTAAGCACATACTGCATCATATGATAGCCCCAGTGAGGAGGCCTGAGCGCGCCAGGTGGAGGGTACAGCCCTTCCCAGGATGCCTCTCCGCAGCTTTGTGCCGAAGTGGAGCAGGGCTGTTGAGGGCATGGCACAGTGGGCAAGATTGTGCTTATTGTAGGTAATCCTCTCTCACGTACGTTTATTAGTGATATTCATCCCAACATCAAAGTGTTTTTGCTTGGAGACACCAGCCAACAGGCCAAGGAATTCTAGCCACTTTTAAGGCTTGCTGCCCCTGCTTTAACTGAAGATCATAAAACACTGATGGAATTCTAGAAGGATTCCATTGATGACTGATCAAGAACCTTGCTTGGGTAATGCCACCACAAAGATGGCAAACATGTTAAGTTGGGTGTGGGTGAGGTTGACAGTACAGACTGCTTAAAGGTGGTTCCTATGGGCTGTTGTCTAAGTGTGGCTTGAAGAAAAATGTCTTCACACACTCAGCTATGGGGTGCTCAGCTGGCCACTTGGGCTGCTGATAGAAAAAAATTTCTGAGCATGCTTTCTTTTATTTGACTCTACTTCTGAGGCTTGTTCCTTAGAAAGAGTGAACAGCCCAATAAAGCAGAGGAATCTTTACTTTTTTGAAGGTAGAGTACAGTTTTATTCTATAATCTCATGAAAAAATATTTCTGGATTCACTTTCCATATATAAATATTGAATATGTTAATTCTTTGCTGTTTTATCTTTTAGATCCCAACACCTTCAATGAGTAAAATAAGCAATATCGAAGGTACAGTATGTTTCTTTTTAAAAGTTATTTGTCATTTTAAGAGAGAGAGTGAGAGCGTGTACTATTAGGAGTTGGCTTTGTTCTTCATTCAGAGACTCGGGGGGTAGAACTCAGGTCATCAGGCTTGGGAGCAGCTATCCTCACCCTTAACTATCTTATTGGCCTTGTTACAGTTCTTGAGAGCAAAATGTACAAATCTGTTTATAGTGGTGGAAACCAATAAATAAATAAAATTAGTTTGAGTTATGTAAATTAAGTAGATTTCAGATGGTCATTAAATTGCTCTGATAAAATATCATTTGCCCAACTTCAGGAAATGAGGAGCACATTTGTTATTTTGAGGCTAGATCATTCGATTACATGGTGATTAAGCAGCCTCCGTCTGGCTTGCTTAGGCCTTCCTGTTGCTGCTCTAGTGTGCTGCAGTATGGCTTACACATGTGATGGTGCTCACACTGCAGCTCTCTCTCTGTGTGTGTGTGTGTGTGTGTGTGTGTGTGTGTGTGTGTGTGTGTGTGTGAAGTCATGAGAGATTCCAGCCAGTTCTGATAAACTTTGGATGACTCCAGAAACTTAAGTCTAAAAGACTTACTTTTATTATCTCTAGGCATTTTATAAGTCATTTATTTTAACTGAAAGTCTTAAAACCAAAAATATATCATAGGGTTAAAACTAAGTTCCATGTCCTTGGTTATCATTATTTGAAGCCACTTTGAGGAACAAGTAATTGTATTCTTCAGTAACAATTTCAGAATATAAGCATATATACATACAATGTATCTTCCAAAATATAACAAGGCTTTTGACCTTTTTATATAAAAATATTAGGGTATTCAACTTAATGAATTTGGAGGGAAAATGAGAACAATTTACTTCGTCCAGCTGTGAAATGTTTAGGAAGGAGGTTGTCCCTAGACTCAATTCTATAGGAAAGCAGGTGTGGTTCTTATCTGCTGGCCGGTCAGGCTTTCTTTGTAGTACATCTCCTTTTGGGTATTTAATGAACAATCAAATTTTACAGCAAAGACGTTTTTCTATTGTTGCTAAAGGGCTAACTTCTGCATTGTTCATTAGAGACTAAAATGCCTCCAAAGGGAGCCAGAAAAATACCATGAGCAGGCTCTAGAATTTTTAATGTAGTTTTATATGGCGCTTGAGTCAACTGAGAACATAGGAGAACTGGAGGCAGTAGCTAATCTTAAGTAGAGAGATGAAATGCTAAGATTATATAGACTCAACAAATTCTACTACTAGCCGAGCGGTGGAGGCACATTCCTTTAATCACAGCACTCAGGAGTCAGAGGCAGGCGGATCTCTGTGGGTTTGAGGAGAGTCTGGTCTACAGAGTGAGTTTCAGGACAGGTGCCAAAGCTACACAGAGAAACCCTGTCTCAAAAAAGAAAACAAACCCACCCCCCATTCCCACCTCCTCCAGATCAAGCTGGGGGGGAAGAGAAAGGGGGCAGGAAGGGAGAGAACAAGGAAATCTGTGGCTGTTATGTAGAACTGAATAGTATTGTAAAATAAAATAAAAAAATAAAGAAAAAAACAAAAAAAGAATAAAAAAATTAATAAATAAAATAAAAGAAAAGAAAAAGAAACAAACAAAAAAAACAAGAAAAAAACTCTAATACTAATGTCTAAATAGTTCCTACAGATGTAAATTAAACATTGTCTCATTCTTCCCTCTTCATTCCTTTCTCTTCCCCTCCCCACACTTAAACAGAAGATAGGTGGTACTTCCTCGACTGACGGGGTCACTGGAGGTACTGCAGTGAGACTTCACCCTCTGAGGATCCCTGAGGCTCCTTCTCCCTTTAGTGCTCTTGAGAAGCAAGCTGATACCCAGCCCATTTGATGACTTCCTGTCAAAACATCATTGTTCTAAAACTTTTTAAATAAACTTGTAAATAAACACTGACATTTTGAACTTCTCTGTCTTTTAGATATTTATTGATACAAGAAAAAAAATTTCACAATGAAATCTAAAGGCATTGTTTGACTAATGATTTCACGTCTAACTGGTTAAATGTCAAAATCACAAATTTAACAATAAAATTTTTATCAATATTATTATTATCATATCTTCTTGTCTCTTTTCAAGTCCATCACTGATAAAGGCTTTTTGAACCAAGCTGTCCTCTTAGCATTGTCTACATAAATGTGTTATGTGCATTAAAGCTCTTTCCTCTGATTTGTTGTGGCAGAGGCCCTTACTCCTTCCAGCTTTTCACTCTTTTCATCCCTTCAATTTTAGTTCTCCTCTCCATGGAGCTTTCAGATCCCCAGACGAAGAACTCTGCTTAGACATCTCTTTAAAGGCCCTGGACCCCTCTTGTCCAAGCTGATGGAATTAAGTTCCCCCTTGAAGTCATACTGAACCACACCTCATTCATGAATGTCCTCTGTATTCCTGTACACATATCCACTGCCCTCCTTCATCAGGCATTCCCCCATCCCCGCACCCAGTCTCTTCTATGGGCCTCTGTCTTGTCCCCATGGCTCTAGCTCATGCTCAAGCCTCCTTACCAAATGACTATTCTCTCTCTAACTTTGCTCCAATCTCATCTTCCATATTTCTAAGCAGTTATTTTCTTAGGTTTTCTGAAAATACTTTCAATAACTCTTGTATTCCTGAGAATAAAAACTAAATTTTTATTTTCTCCAGAAATTTATCCTCTGCCCTGCTGTGCTACCCACACTCTGTAGACATGTATCTTTACACCCCCACAACTGTATTACCCTCTTGCTGGTGCTGGCCATAGTTTTTTCTCCTTTTCCTTTCTATTGGTCTCATGATCATTGAATTCACTAATATGTTTTGTAGTTGGCAAAACAATGTTTGACATTACAATACTGTTTTCCATTTACTGAGCACCTTTGTTCTATCAGTATGTGTTTGAGAAAGCAGCATGCTGCATACACCCCATAAATTGGTGTTACTCACTTGGTATTTGAAGTTCTGAGATATTCTATAACTTGCCCAACATCACATAGCTAGATAAATTTCAGAGACTAGATTTTTTTGTTTGTTTGTTTGTTTTGTTTTTTGAGACAGGGTTTCTCTGTGTAGCTTTGTGCCTTTCCTGGAACTCACTTGGTAGACCAGGCTGGCCTCGAACTCACAGAGATCCGCCTGGCTCTGCCTCCCGAGTGCTGGGTTTAAAGGCGTGCGCCACCACCGCCCGGCTTAGAGACTAGATTTGAACTATTGACTCTCAAGCTGTACATTCCTTGGATTTTCCAGCCTGTTATGCATGATGCATCTTGCTTATAATGAAGGCAAAATAGCATCCTTCTCTTACACATGAAGATAAAGACAGAATATAATGGTTAGACCACAAGCAAAATATTTTCTATACATGTGTATATGGAATACATGTGGAGGTCAGAGGACAACCTCTGGTATCATCACTTCACAGGCATCATTCACCATTTTCTTGGAGACAGGATCTGTTACTGGGACCCAGGACTTGGTGAGCCAAAGAGCCTCGGGGAGCTTCCTGTCTCTGCCTCCCCAGCTCTGGAATTATAATCACATGCCACCATGCTAGGCTTTTTACAGGGCATGGATGGAACTTGGGTCCTCATGCTGGCACAAAGCAAGCACCTTACCGACATAGTTGTCTCCCCAGCCCCATCAATGTTTTCTTGAAGTCTTTGGGAATATGCAAACTCTGTTGAGGGGCAACAAAGAGCACAAAGGAAGAATATATATATTTCATTTTTTAAATTTATTTATTAAATTTAATTTTACATATCAGCCACAGATTCCCTTGTTCTCCCCCC